AAAAAAAAAAATGTTCGAGTCCGAGTCAATTCCGAGTCCAAATGCACACGAGTCCATGACAAGACCAAGACCATTAAAATATGGTCTCGAGACCGAGTCCGAGTCTCGAGTACTACAACACTGGTTCACACCATACGACACAACGTGATTGATCGCACTACACGAGCTGACAACAACTCTGTCACCCAACGATTCTATCTTGTCTACAAACCACGTTTTGTTACGAAAAATCACGCGATAAACGAACCGGAAATGACGTGAAACAGCGTGAAACAGCGTGCGCGGCAATAGAGAGCCGAAGTCCCTCCCCTTCCGGTCGACCACCATGGGACCTTATTTCGGAAAAATATTGAATGGTAGTCAATGGCGAGAGACAACAAATATTTTGATCTCGTTTGAATTGTGCCCTGAATTACACATATGATGTTTGTCAATTCAAAAGATACATTTTAAAGTAAAGAAAGTCGCAGTTTGATATGAAACCGTTGAGGTATAAGACTGTGAAAATACGTAATTACAAAGACTACAAACCCCAAAGGCGCACATTTTCTCTCAATGAATGAAGCTAACTTTACTGAGGCTGTCTGTCATTGTTTCTACAGTTTTACGTTAAAATCGTAACGTTATACGCCGTGTTTTGTACCAGACTGCACACACACGAGCAGCGGATCTCGTTTCGCTTCCCGGGAGATGTAGTTCATTGAGCGATTTTCACATAAAACTAAATGTTACTCTTCTGTTGTATGACAAACTGCGACGTTTTTGACTTTCAGAATTATCTTTTAAATTGACAAATCATATGTGTAATTGAGGGCACAGTTCAGACGGAATAAAAAGATAAGTTGTCTCTCGCCATTGACTACCATTCATATTTTTTCCGAAATAAGGTCCCAAGAGCCGGAAGCGGAGGGGCGGGACTTAGGCTCTCTATACCCAGCGAAGAAGAGAAGAACACAACACGCGAATATGGACGTCAGACAAAAACTTGTGCTGCAAACTGTTTGTCGATGATTTGCTATGAGAAAAAAATGAAAAAATAAGATTTACTCAGTGACCTCAACCCATGCCTTGCTCTGATTGGCTGTAGCGCATGACATCACTGAGGTTGAGTCATGCGACAGCTCTGGATATCTAGCATCATGCTAGATATTTTTCTGGGCTCGGCGATGTGTTGTTGGCTCTTTCATACTAACAGATTGGCGAGCGTTCATCGCCCACAAACCCCCGCGATTTTCACGCGATAACACCCTGCTGCCCTGGGTCTCAACGACTGGGAATCAGGCTTAAAATCCTGTAGTGTGAACTTGGCTTTAGTCTCATAGTAGTTACATATTAAAGACACGTAATAGAGAGTGTGACCAATTAGCTTATCAGATAATGGTGATTTCCACCCTTTGAGATGAAGTGCCAATAGATAACTGACACACTTATGGTAGAGAGAAACAATGTGGTAGCTCTTTCACATCAATGACAGATTTCATTTGTGGAGCTCTATGATTTTTCACAATGCAGAAAACAGACGGAGTCACGTAATCCAGTCATTTACAGTGTGACGCGGAATATTGTATAATTAGGCTATTTCTGGAGGCATAAACCCAAAGCAGGGCTGTAGAATGAATATGGAAATGAGATATTTCTCACTTGTAAATGAGATATTTATCTCAATGTGATTATTTCCCTGGTTAAATAAAGGTTTAATAATAAAAAAAAAATGGACGAGTGTCTGTGAACATTAAAAAGGCTGCTATTGAAATCTGCTATTAAAGGGTTAGTTCACCCAAAAATGAAAATTCTGTCAGTATTTACTCACCCTCATGTTGTTCCAACCCCGTAAGACCTTCGTTCATCTTCGCAACACAAATTAAGATATTTAAGATATTAAGATCGCTCCTGCATACAGTCTATAGGCTTCTTGAGGGAATGACTTTCTGTCCTTGAAAAGTCATTAAAGACATCGTTAAAATAGTCCAAGTGACTACAGGGGCTCAATCTTAAGTTTATCAAACGACGAGAACACTTTTGTGCGCAAAAAACAACAAAAATAACGACTTTATTTCAACTATTCACTTCCTTCTCCATGGGCCTGTAAGTCAGTTAACGTAGTGTGATTGCGTAGAGCTACGTCACACGTAGGCTCACTATTGGCCGACGCTGGTCATGTGTGTGATGCGTGTGACGTACAATAACAGAAGCTTACGCTATTAAACTAGTAACCTGACTCGCGCAGAGGGAGAAATAAACGAATAGTTGAAATAAAGTCGTTATTTTTGTTGTTTTTTTGCGCACAAAAGTGTTCTCGTCGTTTGATAAACTTAAGATTGAGCCACTGTAGTCACTTGGACTATTTTAACGATGTCTTTTATGACTTTTCGAGGACAGCAAGAGCCAGTCCCTCAAGAAGCCTATGGACTGTATACAGGAGCGATCTTAATATCTTAAATATCTTAATTTGTGTTGCGAAGATGAACGAAGGTCTTACGGGGTTGGAACAACATGAGGGTGAGTAAATACTGACAGAATTTTCATTTTTGGGTGAACTAACCCTTTAAAAGTCTGCGTGTCTCAGTTTGGTCGACTACACATAATGATCCGCCGGCTCACTATACAAGGACACATGAACTTGAACACCAGCGCTGCATTACACGTTATTAAAACTATCGTGTCTTCAACTCAACACGTCAAAATAAAAGTTTGGTTTAACTTGATGATGTACATTAGAACGCACTCCTCAAAGTAATAATAAATAAATCTTTATTTAAAGGTATTGCACACTTTAACATGTCTTTTTAAAATCAACAAACCTTTCATTTTACATTTTCATTTGATAACATTTGAACAGATTCATGTAATGATAATAAATTGGTATTAAATTATAAATCACAAAATGTCAAACATTTATGAGGCCTTTTGTTGTAAAAAAAAAGGTTAATCAATTCAATTTATTTGATTCAATTAATTATCTGATTTTTTTTATAATTTATTAAATGTTTAAGATTCATTATTTAAACATGCTTACTTAATATTTATTTAACTTAATTATTTGAATTCACCATTAAAACGGTATCCAGAAAAAGAAAAGAAATTAAGAAAAATTAAAATTGAAAAAAAATGACAATTTTTTATTTTATTTAACATTACAATTGAATGGAATTGACCCTTCGCTAAGCCCCGCCCTCCCTAGTTACTGTTGCTACGCCTGTCAAGCTTTCGCGGCTGGCACATCTATTACAGTGTGTATGCACCGGTGTCAGACATTCCCAATCAGATAATTAGTCATTTTCGGCGAACAAGTGAAATATTTGAGGGACTGCAGTATTCCATTCGAGGGATATATCCACGATATAATATGCAACCGATTGGAGAATAATTTCTTAAAAATTAAAGCTAAAGCCTATAGTCCCAGCACAATCAGCAGCGCCTCATGCCGACCATTCAAATGGGAAACACACAAGTAAGGAACAGCTATGTTCGTGCACATTTAATAATCATAAATCAAACAGCTTATCCATAAATCTTGTGGGATAACACTAACACCGGGAGAGCCGTGATCGGAATGGGTTAAAGTTACTTAATCAGGGTAGGCCGTTGATTAACAACATGCTGAAACATATTTTAAAGAATGTCAGTGAGCCTTGTCTTGTCTTTAATCGTCTTATTTTACGTTAAAATGCATTATGACCAAAGAACTGTCGATATTTCCAAGCAATAGGTGTTTTTGTTAATCCTGTCGACATTTAGTTGTGAATGGGTCTCGATCACGCCAATCCTTTCTCCCCTCGGCTTTTCGGGAAGGAAAAAAAAATCCACTTCCCCGTCCAAACTTTTAGGATCCCGGGTATCAGATTAACACAATCCATACACACAATGCTTCGGCATGTTTCCCTCGCTCGAAAGCTTGCCAGACCTCCCGCGCCTAGTTACGGTTGCTAAGACACATTTTCGGGCGTGGCTTAGCGAAGGGTCAATTGAAAAAAATGATATATATATATATATATAAACTTTTTATGTTTTTAAATGATAATAATAAAAGTCTTTTATTATTAAAAAATAATAAAATAAAAGTCTTTTCTGCTCACCAAGGCTGCTTTGTTTGATGAAAAAAAATGACAGTAATATTGTGAAATATTATGAAAATTTAAAATGACTGTTAGTGTTTTCAATTTTAATATATTTTAAAATGTAATTTGAAAGCTGAATTTTCAACATCATTACTGTTGCTGATTACACATCAGTTTTCAGTGTCACATGATCCTTCAGAACTCATTCTAATATGCTGATTTTATGCTCAAAAAACATAAATTATTATTTTCAACGTTGAAAACAGTCGTGTACCACCCCCCCCCCCAAAAAAAAAAAAAATTCTATGATGAATAGAAAGTTGAAAAGAACAGCATTTATTTAAAATATAATCTTTTCTAACATTATAAATGTCTTTACTGTAACTTTTGATCAATTTAACTCATCCTCGATGAATAAAAGTATTTTGTAATTTTTTTCCCCCCAAAAATAAAAAAAATTATTCTTACTGACCACAAACTTTTGAACGGTAGTGATTAATGTTACAAAAGCTTTCCATTTCTGATCAATTCTGTTCTTTTGAACTTTCTATCCATCAAAGAATCCTGAAATAAAAATGTAAAAAACTGTTTTTAATATTCTTGAGCATCATATTATAATAATTTCTGAAGGACTGGAGTAATGATGCTGTAAATTCAGCTTTGATCACAGGAATAAATTACACTTCACTAAATATTCACATAGAAAACCGCTGTTTTAAATTTCACAATATTACTGTTTGATTATTTTATAATAATAATAATAATTGCAGCCTTGGTGAGCAGAAGAGACTTCTTCATAAAAAATCTTACCGATCTAAAACTTTTGACCGGTAGTGTGTGTGTGTGTGTGTGTATATATATTATATATATATATATATATAATAAGTGGGACTAAATTATGATTATGGTCCTGCACAAATTTCAGAGCTAGTCTAAACTCACCAGTATAGGTGTTCTGGATGGGGAAGGTGACCACAGACGGCTGCTGCTGCGGGGAGCTGAAGAGGACCTGCTGGGTGAGGCCGAACACCGGGCTCTTCCCGGCCGTGGGGGGCGGCTGGAGGCTGGGAGATGGAGCGGGCTGGGCTTTGGGCTGCGTGGTCTGCAGTGTCCCGGGATTGGCAGGGGTGGAGTTCACCTGTGCCAGAGGAGACTGCTGGAAAGTGGGAGGGAGGAACGCCTTGTCCGGGACGGAGGAGCTGCGGCTGATGGGGGGGCCCAGCAGGGCGTCCAGGTGCGGGCTGCTGCTGAGGATGGAGGAGCTGCTGGGCGTAGAGGAGGCGGGTGGAGGAGAGGAAGGGCTGGACAGAGGGGGGGCTGCGGGACCAGGAAATGAAGTGTGATCGAACAGACCCACAAACTCCATGTCCTGGTTGTTGATAAGCTGGAGCATATCTGTCGAAACATGGAAAGAGACGAATATTTCACTCAGTTGTAGGATGGAGACGGTGATCTGACTGCAGAGTGACCCATTACAGAGTTACATCATTCAGAGCGACGACTCTCACACAGAACCAGTCAAGATCCTGCGCTTCACAATGAATAACACACACGCATGAGAGGAAATCATGTCTAAATGAAGCTCAAAAACCTGTAGGCTACAAAAACAGTCTTAAAATATTGAGAATTAATAACCTAATAAAAGTAGGTGACCATTTGTGGGGATCGGTTTATCACATTAATGACATGTTAATCATCCTGAATTATCTTGATTTTAAATAGGCGATTACTTTAGATGCACCATAAAGGCATAAATTTATTCAACTTCTTTAAATGAAAGTAAAGGGGTTTTGTACATTATAGTTTGTTATTATCAGAACAAAGCATTATTATTTATCATCATCACCACATTTTAATTAAACAACACATACTTGTTTGGATCTGAGATAAATAAATAAAATTATTTCATGCACAAATGTATAATTGAATATATTTTTCATGTAATCAATATATATATATATTTTTAAATAACTAATTGAAAAAAATGTGGGATATGAGATAAAGAAATTAAAAGAATGAGAGGAAAAGCAGTATTATTATTATTATTATTAGATTATAAAATAATACATTATTATTATTGGGATGTGAAATAAGGAAAAATAAATATAATATACATGTTCATAATTATGATTTAAATAAATAATTCATTACACATATTGGGATCTGAGATATAAGAATAAAAATAATCAGATTATAATCAGTATAATAATAATTATTATTATTATTAGATTATAAAATAACATTATTATTGGGAAAGGGATATGACATAAGGAAATAATGCACAAATATTATATAATATATATAACTTAATATACAATTCTTTTTTTTTAGATCAGAAAGTAATTATTTAATTTAATAAATAATACATTAATAATATTGGGATCTGAGATAAAGAAAACCGAATCAGAGTATCTTCAAAAATAATACATTAATATAATTGGGATCTGAAATAAGGAAATAAAAAGTATTTTATGCACAAATATTATATAATTAAAAAAAAAATTAATCAGAGAAGAATAATTTCATTTAATAAATACATTAATACAATTTTGAACAGAGATAAAGAAACCCGAATCAGAGTGTCTTCATAAATAATACATTAATATAATTGGGATCTGAAATAAGGAAATAAAAAGTATTTTATGCACAAATATCGAGAGGGGGGGCAGCTGCCACCGAGACCTGTCACTCCACCCGTCACCGCTAGTGGCAGCTGTCACTCGACCTGCCACCGCTATATGCGCCTGTCACCCAACCTGCCACCGCTATATTCGCCTGTCACCCGACCTGCCACCGCTATATTCGCCTGTCACCCGACCTGCCACCGCTATATGCGCCTGTCACTCGACCTGCCACCGCTATATTCGCCTGTCACCCGACCTGCCACCGCTATATTCGCCTGTCACCCGACCTGCCACCGCTATATTCGCCTGTCACCCGACCTGCCACCGCTATATTCGCCTGTCACCCGACCTGCCACCGCTATATTCGCCTGTCACCCGACCTGCCACCGCTATATTCGCCTGTCACTCGACCTGCCACCGCTATATTTGCCTGTCTCTCGACCTGTCATCGCTATATTCGCCTGTCACCCGACCTATCACCGCTATACGCGCCTATCCCGTGATCTGTCACGGCTATACGCGCCTGTCCCGAGTCTTGTCATGGCTATACGCGCCTGTCCCGCGATTTGTCCTGGCTATATTTGCCTGTCCCGTGACCTGTCACGGTTGTATGCGTCAGTCCCGCGACCTGTCACGGCTATACGCGCCTGTCCCGACTCCCGCGACATGTCACGGTTATTTCCGCCAGTCCCGCGACCTTTCACGGCTATAGGCTACTATACGCGCATGTCCCACGACCCGTCACGGCTTTATGCGCCTGTCTCTCGACCTGTCACTGCTGTATGTGTCCCGCGACCCGTCACGGCTATATAGCCTACGCGCCTCTTACTCATGGTTAAATAAATCTAGATATGGGCTAGTTAATATTCTATGCAGCCTATTCTACACAATATAGTAGTAGGCCTAATAATGATTATATTTAATATAGGCTATATGCTGTTTGAGAAATATTTCGAAAAAAAAGAAACTCCTTTTATTATTATAATTAACCTACTATTAATAATTAGCCTATTAATAATTTGCAAATTTCCCCACTGTAAAATAAAATAAAACAATCAGGCGAGCTATCATGATTTCTGGAGCGCGTCTCATAAATGAACTGAAACAAAAGCCTATCTAAAGCTTGAAATATGCAAATGTCCACTTTAAACGAATTAAGCAAATAACGATTATACAGTCCGAAAGGTACATTTCTCTAAAGCGCAGAGAGATATGTTTAGCCCACACTATAAAACAGTTTATTTAAACAATAAAAATCCATCTTTATTTTTCAGACACATTAATTATGATTAGCCTATAAATCACCTATAAATCAGGGCTCAAATCATCTGTTAAATCATTTGCCTCATCCCCCAAAATGTGCCGCATGATTCAACCATACCTCCTGTTTAGATGCGGGATGCATTGCTTTGTTTTTAAAATCCTTTTTTTAAAATGGATAATTTCTTGCATTTTCTAAAAAAAACTAGGCCTACATTTAGGCTACTTTTATCTTTAAAGTCCATTTTTAGAGGAAAAATCTCAGTAGGCTATACTAAGCGAAAAAAATCAAATAAAATAAAATAATAATAGCACAGTTCAAAAACTGTAAAAGATTTGGTTATAAGTTATAAATAATTGTATGTTAAACATATTACTGTCTTCGGTGAACTCTAATAAACGCAAATAATAATTAGCTAGGCTATCAAAATCCATTTAGCTACATAGGCCCTAAGACGCTTTTATCCACACAAAAAAAGAACAGAGCAATTCGTCAAATGTCAGTCTAGACAATAATAATGGGCTAAGATTATAACAAACACAGGTTTTTGACGCATCCAAGTGTTTATGGAGCGCGCATGCATGTCACTGAGTCGCAGCCGCAAACACTAGCATGTTCCATCAACAGGTCATACAGAAAAAGTACATTAGCCTATAGGCTACATAATGCATTATTTGTAACTACTTTTATTTGTGTAAACTCACAATAACAAGAAAACGGTGTATTTGTAAAATAACAAGAACACGGTGTGTATTTGTAAAAATAAAATAAAACAATCAGGCGCGTTTTTCTTTCATCTCCGGAGCGCGTCTCATAAATGAGCTGAAACAAAAGCATAGGCCTATCTAAAGCTTGAAATATCCACTTTTAAACGAACAAATTCGAATCGAAAGCAAATACCGTCTGATTATACAATCCGAAAGAGATATTTCTCTCTAAAGGTGCATCCTCTTCACAGCGGATATGGAGATGTTTAGCCCGTCACTAGAAAACTGTTTATTTAAACAATAAAAATCCCTCGTTATTTTTTTAGACACATTTATTATGATTAGCCTATAAATCACTTATAAATCATATGGTTCCCGAGACACGCTCTTCTCATTTAGCACTGCGGGCAAAATATAGTTTTTTTTTTCTAATTTGATTTTAGAAAGTAAATTTTTTTTTTCCATATTAATTTGCGAATATTTTAAATGTTTAATAAAGGCAAAAAGTCAATGTTATTTATATTTTGTGCACAAAAACTTGGATATACGTCAAAATCTTGTGTTTGTTTGTGATAATCTCAGTATTATTATTGTCTAACCTGTATTATGACTGACATTTGACGAATTTCTTTGTTTCTTTTTTTGATAAAAGCGTCTTATAAATATCTAAATATGTAAATGTAATAATAATAGCCTATTATTTGTGTTTATAACTTTAAATGAGTTCACTTAAGACAGGAATATGTTAATCATAAAACAATTTATGAATGTTTTATTTTTATAGGCCTATAACTTTGTGTTATATTTATTTATTTTTTGTATGTGAAGTCCTTTTAAAAACAATGCATCCCGCATCTAAATAGGAGGCCTATTTGAAATTAATCATGCGGCACACTCTGGACGAGCCACAAATCCGTGAGTATGGATTGCGAAAGCGTGGGCACGGTTTATCAATTTGGGTACAGATTGCAAAAACTGAGGGCACGGTTTACAAATCTGAGAGCACGGATTAGGAACTCGTGGGTACGGTGTATTAATTCGTGGGCACGAATTGTTAAACCGAGGGAACAGTAGAATTCGTGAGTAGGCTACACTTTATAAACTGAGGGGACGGATTGCAAAACCGTCACCTCGGATTGTTTTGTTTTTTCCCCACAGGTGACTTCCCGGGCTCCGTAAATAATATTGCGTTCATATTTTGGACTCATCTTATTTTTTTATATAGGCTATGGTTTATTAATATGATTTGTACTGAGTTTGGTCTTTTAATATCACTGTCTTAGTGCACTGAGCCACGAAGCGTTTTTTCACGTTAAGCGTTAGAATGTCCTGAGGGACAGGCGCGTAGCCGTGACAGGTCGCGGGACAGGCGCGTATATAGCAGGGACAGTTCGCGGGACATGCGCGTATAGCCGTGACAGGACGCGGGATAGGCGCGTATAGCCGTGACAGATTGTGGGACAGGCGCGTATAGCCATGACAGATCGTGGGACAGGCGCGTATGGCCGTGGCAGGACGCGGGACAGGCGCGTATGGCCGTGGCAGGACGCGGGACAGGCGCGTATAGCCGTGACAGGTCGGGTGACAGGCGAATATACCGGTGACAGGTCGAGAGACAGGCGCATATAGCGGTGGCAGGTCGGGTGACAGGCGAATATAGCGGTGGCAGGTCGAGTGACAGGCGAATATAGCGGTGACAGGTCGAGAGACAGGCGCATATAGCGGTGGCAGGTCGGGTGACAGGCGAATATACCGGTGACAGGTCGAGTGACAGGCGAATATACCGGTGACAGGTCGAGAGACAGGCGCATATAGCGGTGGCAGGTCGGGTGACAGGCGAATATACCGGTGACAGGTCGAGTGACAGGCGAATATACCGGTGACAGGTCGAGAGACAGGCGCATATAGCGGTGGCAGGTCGGGTGACAGGCGAATATACCGGTGACAGGTCGAGTGACAGGCGAATATAGCGGTGGCAGGTCGAGTGACAGGCGCATATAGCGGTGGCAGGTCGAGTGACAGGCGAATATAGCGGTGGCAGGTCGGGTGACAGGCGAATATAGCGGTGGCAGGTCGAGTGACAGGCGAATATAGCGATGGCAGGTCGAGTGACAGGCGCATATAGCGGTGGCAGGTCGAGTGACAGGCGCATATAGCGGTGGCAGGTCGGGTGACAGGCGAATATAGCGGTGGCAGGTCGAGTGACAGGCGAATATAGCGGTGGCAGGTCGAGTGACAGGCGCATATAGCGGTGGCAGGTCGGGTGACAGGCGAATATAGCGGTGGCAGGTCGGGTGACAGGCGAATATAGCGGTGGCAGGTCGAGTGACAGGCGCATATAGCGGTGGCAGGTCGAGTGACAGGCGAATATAGCGGTGGCAGGTCGAGTGACAGGCGCATATAGCGGTGGCAGGTCGGGTGACAGGCGAATATAGCGGTGGCAGGTCGAGTGACAGGCGAATATAGCGGTGGCAGGTCGGGTGACAGGCGAATATAGCGGTGGCAGGTCGGGTGACAGGCGAATATAGCGGTGGCAGGTCGAGTGACAGGCGAATATAGCGGTGGCAGGTCGGGTGACAGGCGAATATAGCGGTGGCAGGTCGAGTGACAGGCGCATATAGCGGTGGCAGGTCGAGTGACAGGCGCATATAGCGGTGGCAGGTCGAGTGACAGGCGAATATAGCGGTGGCAGGTCGAGTGACAGGCGCATATAGCGGTGGCAGGTCGAGTGACAGGCGAATATAGCGGTGGCAGGTCGAGTGACAGCTGCCACTAGCGGTGACGGGTGGAGTGACAGGTCTCGGTGGCAGCTGTCCCTGCCACGGAAAGATTTTACCCTTACTGCAAATATCACATACAATTTAAAATTTCATGCATGATATCATTTTGTTAAATCAGAGTATAACCAGTATAACATGACTCATATAATAAGAACCATAATAAAGTTAGTGATGTTACTCTACTGGAGAGTCAATTCCCAACAGTGTATCAAACTGAAGTGGTCAGAAGTGGTGTTTTCCGTGCACGTGACCCCACATGGCCTTAGCCTCCCTCCATCAGTGAGCACAGGCATGGCGGCGGCCGGTGTGTTTGTATGAGGTGATCGCGCTCGACCAATCAGAAGCCCGGAAAGCGCCTCGCGCTAGAGGTTACTATCGGGCACTGTCCGCTTCAGCAGCGGGGTTTACTTTCGGTCAGACTCAGACTACACTTCACTTCTTCACCGTGCGTGGACCATTTAACCATTACAAAGGTGAATTACTAAAGGGTCTAATATCGCAAAGGACATACATGTAAATAAATACACATTTTCAGATATATTCAAACTGTCTAAATATGTTTAAACGCTTTTCGGTGTGTGATACAGGACTGATGGCGTTTTGTCATATATATATATATATATATATATATATATATATATATATATTTTTTATTTTTTTTTTTATATTCTAGTTCTCAGAGAAGTGTGTCGGTTGGGATGGGAATGGCCGATTGTAACCTCGCGCGACGTCATTAGTCGAGGATGGAGGGGGCGGGGCTTCTCACAATGCAACTTCTACTGAAACGCCCACAATGTAATGACACCCTGCATTTTAGTATCATTTTAATTAGATTTAACATACAATGCACCATTACAATGCGTGCAAATAAAGGACCCATAGATAGATGTGACATAGATGTGCTCTCCAAGCAGAAAAGCAACACACGCACGCCTAGCTTCACTGACACCACCTGATCAGATGCGCTCAGTGTGTTTAAAGGACGACACAACAAAACAAGCATCCTAGTATGTGACGACAAAGTGCATAGATGCAATCGCTCATTTATTACAGATGTTTGTTTTCCCATTATTTTAATCACGTGTACATGCGTCTGACAGCACCATCGATCAATGTAAGTTAAATGTGTCTGCAAACACATGATTCACTTCGTCCAACCATCTAAACCTGCCAAACAGCACTGCAAGTGTAAACAAGCGGTGTCTTACCATCAATGTCGCTGAGCAGAGCCGAGTCGATATCACTCGGATCATGTAAAGACATACTGGAGTCCAAGGTTTCCAGTGACGGGTCGTCAAAAGACAGATTCATTGTCCTCGAATGCTTTTTCAAGCTGGCTTCGGAAGTATTAAATCACTCACTCACACAACAAGCGGTATTCCATGGAAACTAGGAACTTCTTGCACTCATCGAGCAGGCAAATATGCCGGGACATTTGTTGGCGTAACGTTAGTTTTCGTAGGACACGTCCACTTGATTTTTGACTAACGTTAACTCAACTTTCTGACTGATTCTGTCCACTACCTGCTCGCGTTCGTTTCCATACTGCCGCACAAGGCAAAGTTGACTTAAGAGTTTGCTTTGCACATTAGCATGCTAGCAACGAGAGCCAGGCGAACCCCAGACGACGGTGGGTGATTGACACGCCCCTCGACCAATCAGAACTCGCTTCTTTAGTTGACGAGTCTCCTTCACATGGCCTGCATTGAAATAAAACTGTCAAAAAAAGTCACTTTATTTTTTACTGTTTTTTTTTATTTTTTATTTAAGATAGAGTAGCATTTGGATTATTATGTACAATTGTTGTTTTTACTTGTATTATTGTATGTTATTTATATAAATGTGTCAAAGCTATTTTAAAACGTTCATAATTATTTTCGACCTTTTCAATTATTACGCTGAGAGTCAATATGTGTTAAAAGAGAATAGGAAATCGATTTTTGTTTTACTGTAAAGTGCTCAATATACACCCCCGTTTTTGTTTACAAAACCTCTCTCGGCAACTGCATGGTCTGAGCTTCAGTGGGCTTGTCTCCCTCAGCCAATCAGAGTTGATCAGAGGTGGGCACTAGGACATCACGTTAGTATGAGCCGCAGTGATGACTCCGCCTGTAGAACCAGACAAACCAACCAATTGGGAGCCAGAAAGCAAGTGGGGTGATATGACGTCACTCATGTGGCTCCGTGATTACATCATGTATTTCTCGTAGAATAAGAACAAAATATTTATAAAAAAAAAATATTTATATATATAAATATCTGAACGGGGATTAATATGAAAAGCTTAAATAAAAATGAAGCTTTTATTGAAACAAACCAAATTAAATAAATCCAATATAAGCACAATTGATGCTATCCACTCGAAAAATGAATATAAACACATAAATTGGTCAAGGTATAAAGCAGGATGGATTGATAGTGTTTACAGAGTTAAGTCATTCTATATGTCTGTGAACTCACACACATAGATAACAAACAGAAGTGAAGTGGGTCAATGACCGAGAGTAACACCAGCGACTGACTGCAGGAAAACTGATGAAACCAAGGAGCTCGAACATACGTGTTATGATTATTTATGGTATGTTCGTGAGGAGGTGTATGTCTGCCTGTTAAACACACACACACACACACACACACACACACACACACACACACACACACACACACACACACACACACACACACACACACACACACACACACACACACACACACACACAGTCCAGAGGCTTCAGTCATTAATCTATGGAGGTCTTCAGCAGCTGTCCAAAATAGCAAACACTAAGTGCACTTACCACAAATTACTGGTAAGGAAATTAGCAAAATGCACTTTGCTGTCTCAGAAAAAAAAACATCAAAGACAGAGGGAAGTTTTTGGAATAATATGGGAAAATGTGTGTGGAGTTATGAATCACAATGTGTATGCAGAGCGATGTCTCATTATAACATGCTGATTTGGTGCTAAAGAAACATTTCTGATTATTATTAATGTTAAAAACGTTCATGTTGCTTAATATTTTTGTGGAAACTGTGATTTTTTTTGGTATATGGCACTGATTTCTGAAGGATCATGTTACACTGAAGACTGGAGTAATGATGCTGAGCATTCAGCTTTGATCACAGGAATAAATTACACTTTACTATATATTCAAATGGAAACAATTCTTTCAAATTGTAATATTTCACAGTATTATATTTTTTTTACTTTATTTTTGATCAAATAAATGCAGCCTTGGTGACATGAGACTTCATTTGACTAGTGTGTATATATATGTTTATATTGAGAGAGAAAGAGAAAGTGAGAGAGAGAGAGAAAGTGTGAGAGAGAAAGAGAGAGAGGATTTAAGTTTGTTGTCTTACCCCAATTTAACCATTGACAATGTGTCATTATTATTTGTGATTTAATTATCATGTTATATTTTATGGAAGACCATAAGATTGACCAAAATAGAACATCGAAATCTGAACATCTAGATATTTAACATTTCACAACTTCAGGCCAACCGTTTTTTTTCCATTTATCAGTTTAAAATGTTAGTTAGACATGTTGATCTCGAGGAAGCAGCCGATCAGGTTAACCGAACCGTCAGACTGACAGTAAGACTCAACACATTAAGATTTTTTTTTTCAAAGCTCACCTTAAAATGATGAAATATTTCTTAGATCTGCTCATTAAAATGAATCACGCAGGGAAATGTTTGCATTAAGCAAATGAATCACTTTAATAAAATAGTTTGGATTAAACAATAAATCTGACAAAAGGAAACGTCATTACATCATTATTCTAAAATACATTTGAGACATCATGAGGTAAATAATCAAGAGTTAAGACTTTTAATGTCACACGATGGCAACACTCATTGAAGCAGTTAATCCAAATCATGATGAAAGCTCTTCAGAACAAGCAGATCATACACTTTCACAAGTCAGAAATCAAACATAGATATCGCTTCGTAGATATACCTCCAATGGCCTTAGTTAAGAAACGCATCGCCGTTATTGAGTGTTTCACACGTTTAACTGCTGATTGGACAGATTTAGGGGAAATGATGGAGGTTTGCAACAGGTTTCGATTAACAAAGTTCAAGCTCTTGCCTTCCAATCGTCAGTCGTTTAACATTTGAGGCCTTTGACTGTGAAACGCATCTAGCTGCAGTTAACTTAACAAAAACATAAGACTGAAAGTGCACATCTTCCTTCAAATATAACCTCACTTCTTTGGGAGATAGCAGTGCGACATGTAGCTCGATTACAACCGTACGGCACAGCTGTAAGCGACTGGAATGAGATATCCTGCAAATCCCGTGGAAAATCTTTCATGACGAATCACACACACAAAAGGGATGCAATTAAAGGTGCACTATGTAACTTTTGGCCCTCTAGTGGTTAAAAAACTAAACTGCACGCATTTTGCGAATGCATTTTAATGAACTCTGTTAAAGAGCTACATACGCTCATTTATCTGTTCAATAAAATAAACTACTCCACCATTGAGTCATAAAAACGCCATACCCGCATCGCTTTACAACATTTCAAACGCCTCAGTTCTTGCCATCTCTGAAAAGCCGAGCCGACGTCGATACTTGTTTTATTACGAGCTCTTATGTCGCGTCCTGTTCGCAAGCATGTCAACAAAATCCATCCACTAGGTAATAAATAGTGAATCAGGAGAACACAAAAACACATTTTGTCAATTTCGAACAATTTGTCGAACAAAAAAAGTTACATAGTGTACCTTTAAACATTTACAAACCTTTAGTACTATACACAAACTTTCCTGCTGTATATACTGTATATACACATCTATGTATACGTATGGATACATATTTTACAAAAGCCATTAGGCAAATATAATTCTTGGTTAGGTCTAGTAAAGCAGAAAGCGAAACTTTCATTCATCTTTCCTGTCGAATGTGCGGATTTATCCTTATTGGAATCAATCGGGAATCTGACAAAAAAATAGGCATAAGCAATCTCATGAAGAAATGTGTGTCATATTTCACCCCAAGACCAAAGAAAACTGTGTAAAGCAAATAAAGTTTGACATTTACTGAGAGGTAAAGGTGAAGAAGACTCTTATTTTGTTGCTAAAATTCTTGTATTAATTCTTGATTTAGTTAATTCTTGTATTAGTTGCTATAAATTCATCTTAGTTGGTTAATTGCTGTGAAAACACTGCTGGTGTTAACACATTTTACAGTTGGGTGAGTTTCTTATGCTAATCAAGGTGATCAAAAATACAGTAAAAATACTGAAATATTATTACAATTTAAAATAACCATTTTGAATGTGAGTATATGTTAAAATGTAATTTATTCCTGTGATCAAAGCTGTATTTTCAGCATCATTACTCCAGTCTTCAGTGTCACATGATCCTTCAGAAATCACTCAAATATGACAATCAAGAAACATTTATTCTTATAATCAATGTTGAAAACATATTTTGTTTTGATTTTGGGATGAGATATGAATCACACCTTTCTTTATTTCTTTTTTTTTTTTTTTTAAATGAGCCTGTTCCAGGAAATCATATATCATAATCAAAAGATGCATGTTTGTGTATCACTGAAGACACCTGGGGCCTAATGTATAAAACTCTCTGTAGATTTCATCCTAAAAGTGTGTGTACGTCTGCGCAACATTTCCTCATAAAAACCAATAAGTGGAAGATTGTGTGTACATGCGTCTCCAACCGAAATGACCATATAAGGAGCTTACACATATCCTCATCTGCATATCATTTCCATATGAATATTCCCATCCACCTGATACCAAGTTTAACGGTAATACAAAGAAAATATTAGACACGGACTATAAATGCCATTATAGGTGCAATCAAATGGGTATAAAATACTTTTAATTTCTATTTAAATTAATATAAAAATATTGCAACTTCTGCATAATGATTTCATGACTGCGTAACTCCATTAATGAGTGGCATATTTAACCTAAATGTCTATATCAAAATAAAAACTTTTGAAAAAAAATTCACTCGCACTGTAAAAGAGTGTGTATGCAAGCACACACATACGGCTAGTTAATTTTGTGTGAATCGCATGCGCGTGGAAAATTGCATACACACATTTCAATGCCTTTTTTGTGTGTACGCAACGTTTATACACCAGGCCCCGGATCTATACAGAGCCCCGCACATGACACGCAGACACATATACATACATATATATTAGGGCTGTAAAACGATTAATCGCAATTAATCGCATCCAAAATAAAAGCTTGTGTTTACATATTATATGTGTGTGTAGTGTGTATAATTATTTTCTATATATAAATACACACACATGCATGAAATATTTGCATGTATATACTTTATATATACAAAATGAAATTAATTAATATATTAATTTAATAAAAAAATAATATATTAATAACACATTTTTAATAGATACATGCATATGTGTGTATTTGTATATACAACATAATTATACACACTACACACACATAAATTATGTAAACAAACTTTATTTTGGATGCGATTAATCGCGATTAATCATTTCACAGCCCTTATATATATATCTCGTATATCGAGGCCATGGATTAAGATTTTAATTTAACTAAAACAAGGAAAGAGAATTTTTACAACATGACCACAACTTAGTAAATCGAGGGAGCAAATCATTGTAT